TCCATCCACGATCCTTGACTGCTCAGAACAACAAAAGAGTAGCCCACATCCTGTCGGATTCTTCATTGACAGTCCGAGCTCAGATTTTTATTCCAGCCTCGAAAATGACCACTAAGCCCCTCATCCGCTCAAATGAATACACCACTCGACAGACGCTGAGAAAGGCTACTCACTTCAAGGCCCAGCACAAGTTAGCCACATTGGAGTCTGCTCGTACAGACATGGCAACATAGGATAGGACACCGGGCGAAGACACGGTTTTTCGAGAATTTCCTATTTTCAAAACAAGCAACTTTTTATGGACTTTCTCTCCTCAGGTAATCTTAACTCATGGAAAGAGTTCGATCTTGACGGGCCGGGTGGATTTTGCTACTACTGGAGAGGCTTGGCCGTGAGTCGCTCGTGCTCTCGAGAAGGAATTTCGGAAGAGGCCCGTTGATGGGTCTGCGGCGGTTTCGCAATCAGCGGAAATTCAGAAGTTGCCGTTCCATTATTGCGTATGAACTGTAAAGAATACCAAGCAGTGCTCCAATGTCACCTGTTGCCCTTCCTTAGCGAAGCGGAGCGAAAATTGCATTTTTAGCAACAGGACCACGTGTCTTTCGATGCTTCGCAATCTACCAAAGAATGGCCTTAACCAAATGGTGCTGAAGCGATAGATTGGCTTGTGTGTCCTCCTTACTGCAACCCTATAGGGAGCCCTTGATCAAGGCGTTAACTTTAGCAACCGGCAGTATAATACCGCGGATGAACTGAAGGCGGCGGTAGAGGCTATTTGGGCCGACAGCGACGAAACAGCTATGCCAAACGTGGTTCAGATTATGCCGGACAGGATGTTTGAGCTAATTAGAAACTCTGGAGGCCCCACTGATTTCTAATCTCAGCTATGTTTTTGTCTTTTGTTAAGTGTGCACATACTTTTGAAACAAAGAAAAAAATTTCATCCAAAATTTTTTTTCGAAAGTGAAGCGATATTATCTGCTTTGCTTCCATTGATAGGTTATCGACTACGAGAAATCGATTGAGAAGGATTTCATAGCACGAAACCTCATGGTTCCCTTTCAAACGTGAATTTTGAGGGTGTGCACATACTTTTGAAACGCACTGTATAGACAGTTGCTAACGGTTAGGCGGCATTGCAATTGCAGGGGAGGGAACTCGTGTAAGCACGTCGTACGCGAGAAGGCACGGACGCCATGTAAGCTGCGACTGGTAAGAATTGCAGCTTTAGCAACGAAGACGTTCTTAGTCCCTTTGCCGCGCACTCTTGAGCCCGAAAGTGCCTGCGCAACTTCACCTGTCTGAAAGGATCCTCCTTTTCCTCACTTGCAAAGGATTTAGATTCTTGGCCGTTGAACCTCAATCTAGCGTAACCTTCAAGTTCAACTAACAATCACACTTTCATCTTTGATAACTTCGAGCACCACACGATACGGCGTGATATCAGTTCGACATTCGGGTTTGTAAAATCGATGATCTTGGTCAATATTGCATGGAAGCCCAATACTCGAAGATTCCGAACTCGTTTAGCATCCCATTCTAGTCGTGAGAGAAAGTGACCTACACGTGATATGGGTAAAATCGGGAATTTGGCCAAACAAGTCACTTCCGCGTTGGACGGTAGAAGCTCCATTTTCAAAACTAATATCATTTTGTCCGACCACTACGCGAATGACAAATGGAAATCTTCACAAACAGCTACTAACAGTCATACGCAATAAAGCTATCCTCACAGCTCGGGATTTAGGACTGCTCTGGCATTGAATTGCTTCACCAAACCATTTTTTTTGAAATTCGGAGACGTACCACCAAGTTATTTAAGTGCGGAGCAACAGTGAAATAGTGGATATGTTATCGAGCAGGTTCCAGACAAATAATTGACATTGAAGCACAGTTTGTGTGCTTTTTGAAGTAATATTACGAGTGTTAACAAAATGAGACATCAAAGGGCAGTATAGCAAGAAACTGCTTCAGAATGGTGGGTTTGACAGCACCAATGGATAAATGGGTCATCTTTTTACTAAAATACAGACTGGAAATCCTTGTCCAGCAGGTTGGAAAGAATCCTTGAATATATAATATATTATATATGGTATAGCTCACTACTAAAGACGGTCAGCGCTCCGTATGCAATTCCTAGCCTTCAAAAGCTACGCAACTCAAGATGCAGGCTTAGAGCTCGCGGGATTGCCCGAATAATAAGGATTTCTGAGAAGGAGGCGAACGAACCGTAATTATATTTTTGTTTAATAATGGGTTTTTCGTTCTTAATTGTCTAGGCGAAACCCATCGAACCATTCACGCTCTGAGTCCTTCACTAAACTGCTTTGATCTTAATCTTTTTCCATCATTGTTTCAGCAGAATATTTTCTTTTTGTCGCGGCCGAAAGTGGCCAGGGCATATGACAAGCTTAGCCCGTGCTCTCCGAGATCGAATCTAGTCGGGAGTCGCTCGAGGCCATCCAGCCCTTCTCATCCCACCGCGATTTGACTATTGTACCAGACTTGAAGAAAAACACTGACTTGAACATCGGCTGGCCCCCGCCAGTCATTGTATAGGCCACATCGCATTCAAAACGCCACTACGAATGTACAAATGGAAGTAGAATGCGTGCCGCATCCCAAAGGGATTGATCAACGGCAAATGCTTTATCCTTTTCTTTTAGTTTCGTTATCCTTTCTGTACTTTAATCTCAGCTATTTGTACGTGTTTCGCTGCTAGTTGAGTAGAATCGGTCGTAAGAGCTACATACGACAGCGGATGATGGGTCAGTCAAATAATTTCACAGGTTGCTACTATAAGGGTGATTACAGAGAGCGTCGCATTCTACACGTCGTCAAGGAAAATGCCTTTCAGCCTAGTGCTAGGCTGGAAAAAGTACATCTGACCCTTTGAACTGCTATCCTAACGTCAGCTTAGTCGGCTGAACTGAACCATTTGCTTTGATATTTTATTGTTTATTTTGTCATTGTTGTGGTTTGCAGTATGCAAGCTTCGAATATCTACCCACCTAGTATGAAAACAAACCGAGAAATCCCACCCGCCTTTTTGTGTTTTTTTTTCGCTAAAACTCGAATTAGCTTCGCTCGGTGAGAACTTCGAAAACAGCTCGGTAAACCTTCAAAACTTTTTTGGAGGTCGAGGAGGACTCATTTTTACTTCCTCCACGCCGGAGGCAAAAAACTAGCGAGCAAGCGCTGATAGAGGCGAAAACTATCGTATTAAGCCCTTTAGTCGGGATCGAGTTGGTAGCGTTCAGCTTGTTCGCAATCAAATCCGTGCATACATTACCTTTTACCTTTTTTACCTTTTACGCGATTTGTCTTCAAACATTCCTCCATGTTTGCAAATCGGAACCTTTCCATCTTTCTCTGTCTTGTGCTATTCTTGTCCATTGGTGACCATGTAACTGTACCATTGGATCGCACCATCTCATCTTCGGATGACCCACAGGGCGTTTGTAGGCAAAACATCTGTGAGGAGAACAAGCAGAAAGCACCATAGAAAACACTAAATTTTTCCGTAATTCTGTCGTGTATGGTCCTTATTTCTAACATTAGGAGGACTGGCTTTGACTCAAATTCCTAGCTCTGCATATTTCAATATCGCCTTTAGTTTATTCGGAGATGGCCTGATGCCCTTCTCATCGACCACATGGCCTAAAAACTCCATCTCCTCCTTCGAAAAACTCGCATTTTCTCTCCTTTTGAGGCGAAATCCGGCCTCATTTAATCTATTCAAGACTTTTTCTAGTCCTCTCCAATGTGCGTCTTATCATCTGGACCTGAATTCTGTACTTAAAGTAGTACCATTTATTTACCAAGTAAAATATTCAGCAATAAAGGAGCAACTATTCTCCACTAGATGAAGAAAGGAAACGCTGATACTTCCCTTCATTCAGCCTCGTGCCACTAAATGTTCACCACCAGTTTTTTAGTTTTTCTAGGTAAAGATGTATCTAGTATCTCTCTTTTATCACTGTTGGCACTCTTTCAATCGCAAAGTAAATTAAGAGGCTTGATAACAATTTCCGACTTCAGTGGCGCAATTCGGTCTATCTGGCGAAACATTTACTGTTTTTCGTGTTTGTCGTTTAAGGGTATATATTTTTAGTTGGAATTTCTTTTATTATGGTTTTTTCACCATACGAAACTCAGGTTTGTGTGGCTGTGTGGTCGTAGCATAAGATTTCGTCTATTATCAATATTTTATTTTCGAGCATAGCCTGAGTGTCTATTGAAATAACTAATCAGATATCCTTGTCAGTCTAACTTCCAGGGGGGGTGGGGTGGGGGTAACCAAAAATACTTTCTGGCAGTGTCTCCCTGTTTATTGGCTGCCGATTTCGCATCTGAGGCTTGTGAGAAAAAATCACACTGGCCCACCGAGAAACCTCGGAGTAGATGATACATCGGACAAAGAAAGGTGGATGACACGAATAACCACAACACCGAAATCGTCTTACGAGATCTTCAATTCACTGAGCTTTTCAAAGCGGTGTTTTGATGGGATGCTTAATACTAAAAGGGTCCTGTAGGACGCAATTTCTTCAAATCTTCAAAGCAGTTTTACTTACCGAAAAACATTCTTCAATTTCTAATTGGATTCTGTTTTGAAATAACAAACCTCATTCTCACCACGCCACGTATCGATCCAATTAGTAGTTTCCACCAGGATTACCGGTTTTTTGCTCACCGGTCAAATTCCACATAATACAACCGAAACCATTCAGATCATGCCGGCCTCACAATTCGAGTGAAATACACATCAACCTCGAGAATTACGTGCAGGAAAAGTACAGCACATGAAACAATCCCTTTTCCATCACTTCACATTCCCAATTTCGTGAAAGCTGTTTGATATAGCGGACAAATTGGCCACCAACATTTTTTTTACAATCATTTCATCGATCTGTTGGAAATTCCTTACAACAGAAGTGGCTAAAGTGCAACATTATCGATCATTTAAAAGGGAGGTGAAGGGATTTGTCGCAGTCAAAATGTTGTTTGCCCTTGTAGCGTTGCCATTTCTTCTGGTGAACACTTTCGCCCAAGGTAAGCGCGGCTGTTGTGAACCCGAAGCCCACAGCTCTCCAAGACCTTTGACTGTGTTCAACAGAACCACCGCTCACTGTAGAGATGTTTCTTTCAGCAGGAAAAGCACATTTCGACGAGTCATTGAAGGAACTGTGCCAGGAGTTCTATGATGGCATCAACGCTGGTCTGGTAAGCTTTTTTTGACACAATAAAAGGAGAAGGTGAAGCGTCGCTAGTGGCGCCTTTGCTATGTGAAGGACAATGCATTTACATGCTAAAATGCACGATCACGAGATCCCAGTAATAATTTTCTCTTTACAAATCAGTTCAGCGTTTCACAATCCGCAGTCAATCACTCAGTGAAGGTACGTGAGGGAGGATGGTAAAACTACATATACAGGGAGGGCCAAAGAAGAGTCACTTTCCCCATAGCGCACTAACCTTTTCGTCGCGCAGAGTTCCACTGTTGAAAGCACTCTTGCGGTTAAATATTCCTTTGATGCCCCTCCCCTCCATACGCACAAGCATGCCCTACTGCCCTCACCTGACGTCATCTGTCATCGTCTTCCAGCTCAAGGAGGTCTACTATAGTTGGACAGCCTGGAGCTACTACATAATTCCTCGGATCGATTCATGGGTGGGCAAATTTGCAGCTCTGATTATGCAAAAGCCCTTCCGACAAGCGTTCCCAGATAATGTCGTAAGTAATCTATAATCTGTCGAGGACCCCGTTGAGCTCGAACCGTGCACCAATTTCCCGTGGCAAATTCTTCTGATGCCGTCAGTGTGGAGGGCTGTTATGAAGTATTTTGATAGAATGAAATGTGCTAAATCCATTTCAAAGGTGGAGTGAGAGGGACTTTTTCTGCCCCCACCCCTGTATATTGGCCGACCTTCATAAGCCACGATATAAGCATTGTGCGCGCTCATCCTCGCTCATACTGACCATGAGAGCCTTAGAGGCGGAGTTTACCATCAGAAGGCAGCCTATAGAACCAAGGTAGAGGTGGTCAGTGGTGCCGGGATGAAGAAAAACCATGAGAAACGGCCAGAACCCGAGAAATGGGACCCCTTCCTTGCCCGTTGATTTCCGCATTGATGCGACTCTCATCGGTGCTGCCCTCTTCAACGCTAACGCTCTCTCTGCTAAACGGCTAGAGACCTGCGGCGAGTGGTTAGCCAGTTGGTGGGCGCGTCGATAGCGCTGCGGGAAAGCCATGCTAGATCGACCGGGGCATATCCTTTGCTGCGGATTTCCTTTCGGTGCGCACGCTCAGGAAGCCGCCTGTCTTCCACTAGGTAAGTTACCCTTCTTCGACCTTATCGTGAAATCTTCCTTGAAGGCAGGGACCACGATGGCAGGAGGACGGTGGGTTTGGTGGCGACATTGAATGTCATTGGTGGACTAGCTCTCAGCTGAGTGTAGAGCGTGTGAGACCGCCTCCTGTGCCCTTCACCAATGACGTTCAAAATAAGTCGCCGAACATGAATGCAGCTATCATGATCCAGCTATCATGATTGCATCCTTTATTGTGAGTTAAACGCCTAGCTTATCCCATTAGAATTTGCTAACGCGCTACCCTCTTCATCGTTAACTTTAGGCATAGACAGCCGTGTTTTCAAAAGTGTGGGTTAATAGTTGGCGACCCCGACAACCGCGAGTTTGAACCCTTCCGCCGCAACGAGCCATAAGGATAAGGATAAAGCATTTGCCGTTGATCAATCCCTTTTTGGGATGCGGCACGCATTCTACTTCCATTTGTGGCGTTTGAATGCGATGTGGCCTATACAATGACTTGCGGGGGCCAGCCGATGTACAAGTCAGTGTTTTTATCCTCCCAGACAAGTCTGGTACCAATTACCGACCCCGGAGGGATGGAAGGCTTGGTTGGCCCGGGCGACTCACGACCCAGGATTTGATCCCCGGACCGCTCGCGTGGTAAGCGCGCCACTTGTCACTACACCACTTCCGCCCTGAAGAGATGCGCTATAAAATTAAAACTTTCAGTCCAGTTTTGGCCAAGATTGACAGCTCAATACATGAATAAAAGTTTAAAGGTATAAGATAACCCATATCATCATCCTATACAGTTTAGATTCTAGAGACTCGATTCGTCAATCATTCATTTATTTATTTATTTGATGTATGCGGAGATGCGCTATTACATATGTTTTGTAGTACATTCAAGCACGTTTTCAGGAAACAGGTATGCGAAGAGGAATGTCGCGAGAGTTCCGAGTATTGGCATAAGAACCACCTACACCGAAGCATTGATACTAAAAGTGCGAACTTATCGGTTCGTTTGTATGATTATCGACAACTCATTTACCTACAATAATCAGTATTATCTAGGCTATTCCGTAAAAGAGATCATCGTCGAATAGAAGAACAAATCTTAATGACCTTAAAACAGCTTTACAAAAAATGGAAACAACTGCAGCAGGTAGGTATACAATCCTTTACCAATTAGGTATAACAACGAATGAAGAAGATGGTAGCCTTTTGGCACAAGAATCGCTTATAAGCACCGTACATTGGCGACGGCGCCATTATTCTTCAACAGTTCTTTCCAAAGTGCCCGTTAGGAACTGTTTGAGGTCTGAGCACTAGTCTGTAGCTAGACATTTTTTTAGACATTTAGACCATTTCACTCTGTTACTAGACGTTTTTTTTGTAATAAAAGCTGTGTGACTGGAAAATTCTGTCTCACCATTTTTTTTCAGGTGTCCAAATTTCCTCCAGGCACGGAGTATGGATGCCACTTTCTGCACCAGCCTTTCGACAGAGATTATTACATCGTAAAAACTCTGTGCTTCTTTTATCAAAGGAAGTAGTTATTAACGGCTTATGGAATCACTCATTTGTTCCATGCACTTTTTAACAAATTTAAGGAAACCAGGAAAACATGATAAGTCAAAGTAGTAAAAGGATAAAGAATAAAGCATTTTGCCATTGATCAAATCCGTCTCATTCTACGTGCACTTGTAGTAGGTCGTGAAGAAAGTTCTTGCGTTTTTTGATATTTCGTTTCTGAACGCTTTATTCTGTTAAGAGTTCAAGCAAGCTGCCACTGCTTAGTTGTCTTCTTTGGAGAATTCAATACGGCATACTCCAATAGCAAAGTTGCACGATTTCCTTTTCCTAGCTCAAAGCAGGCCAGCATGGAGAGGAAGCGGTCAAGATGTTATAGAGTGCACTTGGCTGAGACTCGCAGTAAATATGGTCTGAAGCAATTGTTCAAAAAGCTTTTGTAAGGATAGTGAGAGCCCCAAAGATGATGAGGGTGGTGGTCGGAGATTGGCCAAACGCCAACGATTAGCCGAACGTTCTAGTTGAAGCACGTTTGCACAAATCTATTGAGAGGGTTCCTCCTAAACTAATCGCACTTGCATTGTGTTTTCTTGTTGTACGGGAAGAGCTGGAAAGTCCCAAAAATTCAAATAGGGCGTGCCGCGACAGCTCACCATTTTGAAGGGTCGTTCGCCGCGTTCTAGCTTGTTTCATGCCATGAAAACGACCTGACTTTTTGATCATTTGCGACGCACGACAAAGAACGGATTCTTTGCTACAGAATACGAACCTTTGGTGAAGTGATCGACCGCGATCAGGCTCTACAAACTTTGCAAAAGTGAAACTTCACTGAAGGAAGGTTGAGGTGACTTTCATAAGGTCAGCGGCTGGTCTAGCTTTTCGTAACCAGGTGGATCTGTTAATGTGGAAAAAGTACTCCTGATAATGTGTCAAACTACTCTAGAACTCTAGCACATATGCTCGATATTCCTCATTAAAGGAACGGCCGTTTCCTGACAGGTAGCTCGGACGCACATCGCACAACCAACCTTGCAGAAGTTGAACCAGCTGAGCCACGAATTAGTGCTTACTTCTTCTTATTCGGTAGACCTTTGGCCTATAACGTGTCACTTTCTCGATTACCTGGATAGCTTCTCCAAAGAGTTATGCTTCAAAACCCAACATGATGCGGAAACGACCTCCGCCGGGTTCATCGTCTCTAGAGCTCCAGTATTCTGCACTACCGGGCTGATTCAACGCAGCTATTATTGGCAGAGGTTTGTGGATTCTAACAGTCTTTACTCCAATCAAAAAGGTTTCGAATGAGCCGAGATACAGGCATTTGAAAATCAAGGTCGAAAAGCGCAAGAACTTTCTTCAAGACCTCATACGACATTCGTAGTGGCGTTTGAATGCGATGTGGCCTATACAATGACTTGCGGGGGCCAGCCGATGTACATGTCAGTGTTTGTCAACGACCCCGGAGGGATGGAAGGCTTGGTTGGCCCGGCGACTCACGACCCAGGATTTGATCCTCTGGACACGTGTGCGCGTAATCTTGCAACTAATCTCCACTTCACTTCGAAGTAGTAAAGCAATAAAAAACGCTACATTGGCTGGTGTAATTTTACGACGCCAATCTCCGAATCTCTCACGAAGCTGCTAAACAGTTTTCTGAGTTTTGAAGATCAATAGAGCTACGGTAGTGGTCCGGTCTCACAGGCGAGAGGACGTGGGATCGATTCCCTGACGGGTTTTCCCTCTTGTCTTTGTGGCAACATAATTGAAAAAGGGCCGCACAGTTACGTTACATGAATGCTTGCCTGGAGTTACGGCGTACAAGCAGTTGCGAGCAGGGTCAACCCTGCGTTGCGCAAAGAACAACGAGGGGGTCGTATTCAGCCGACCGAAAAGGGAGGGGGTCGTATCCACAGACGGGCTGCAAGACGGCTTGAAAAGTGCAGTGTCCGGGAGTGCACTTTCAGCCTCTAATGTTCTCCAGGAGCTCTGCACGCTGTCGGAGAGTCACACAGACATGAGCTCCATGGGAGCATTAAAGCATGCAGAGCACTATAAGTCTCACCATCAGCTTATTATCCTTAATCGACGCTATCCGGACGGCGCTTTTGCTCCGCGGCATAGATCAAGAGTACAATAGACAATAGCCAAAAACTTTGTTACAGTGTAGTGCAAAAACATGGTCTGTCTTCGATGATGAAACATTCCTGAAATCCCGAGGAGAACAAAGTGTAGAGCAGTTCATGGGAAAGTGAAACAAGAGTGCCATATAACAGCACAATGCAACTCAATCAGGATACTAACACCTTCTTCAGGAAAACAGAAGACTTTCAAATGCGAGTGCGAATTCTGCCCACAGATAGGTGCACGGCGTATACCCGAGGCGTTTTCCCATAAAAACGCCTCCTCTGTCAGCGGCCGTAAGCAGACAAACTTTGAAGAGAGTTTTGATGCTTTCAAATAAAATCTAAGCGAAACAAAGTGTAGCGAATTTGCTGAATTGAGTTCTAGAGACGCCGTAGGAAAATTGAGGCAGAAGAAAGAATTTCAGGAATTTTTCACAGTTGTTAAGGAAAGTTCCACAGTTGTTATGAAGTACTCTTCGAGTGGATTCCTAATCTTTACCGCTTCTCATCACATTAATTTTAAAGGAAGTTATGGGCCTTTGAAGACTGCATAGTCGCGGTCCAGGAAAATGGCTTGAAAAAAATCAAGGTGGAAAAAACGGGACTATTTTTTGAGCGAGTGATTATTTGGAAAAAAAGTCAGCACTTGTTCGAAAGCTCTAATCTTCTAGTTTCTAATTAGCCTTAGACATTTGCAAAAAGTTGATTATGAAGAAAGTTATGAATGTTTGAATGTCAAAAACTCGCGTGTGCACAGAAAACGGAACAACGGGACGATTTTTTGAAATATTGAACATCCACAACATTTCAAATACTCCTCAGGAAGAAAACTATTTATATTTTTAAAATTTTGGTGTCCGATTTCATGAAACAGCTTCTGAAAAAAATATAACCTTCTGAATGGAGGGGTTTGGATTGCAATGTAATTGCTACAAGGTTTAGTTTTTCAGATTATAAGGTAAGGAAAGTTGAGAGATCGAAAAAATCCTGGTGGGTTTCTGAAAGTAGAAATCTTTACGATTAAAATGATGTATTGGTTTACGCAAAAATTTGGAAATTCCTTCTATTTAATGAATAAAACTTCATTTGCCTCGATTCCTCCTCTGAGCGAGACAAAGCGCGCGGATTGACCACGGTCCACCACTTCTCCATGTTGGTGACTGCCATCATTGATGAGCATTGATGAGCATTAAATTATGTGAAAGACATGATAGTTAATATGGGGGGTCGTACCGATACCCCCCGAAAAGGAAGGGGGTCGTAAAAATTTGGGAATTTGCGCAACGCAGGGTTGACCCTGCGTGGACCCACCACCAGTATCACCAGTCGTCCCCTTGATCGTCGATTGAGCGCGCGCCAGCAACGTCTCCATTCGTCCCTGCGGTGGTCCAGTGGATCCTCCTTGCTCGAGGGACACGAAGTCCATCATTCCTTTCGTTCAGAGCTTTCGTGAAGAAGTCTGACCATCGGGCCGGCGGTCGTCCAGGTGTTCGTTTGACGTCCCGAGGGATCCAGTCGGCCATCGCAGAATCGCATGACGTGTCGGCTACCTTATCTTATGATTCTTTGGCGAAAACAGCAGCGCTCACGGGGTTGGATGTTCCGAGGCATCCATTCGGTAAATGCTCTGGTAACTTTTCGTGGGTAACTCGTCCAAATTTGAAGCCAAGTGGAAGAGTGTGCCGTTTCCCGAGTTTTAGACCATGTTACTTGTTTTTTTTTTCTAACAGACGCACAGAGATCTTTCGAAACTGCACATACAGAGGAATTTGTGCCCTGATCACGAATGTGACATCGGTTTTGATGGTGGCCCACATGGCGCCAGTTCGGCTCATTGTAGGCTCCATGTCGCGCTGGACTAGTCCCACATGGCGCCAGTTTTAAAAGCGGGCATACATTCGTAACTTCGTACCACAATTTGCCGCACGAAGTTTTTGGCCGATTTGGTTGAAAAGAACGCCAAACGGGCGTGAACTGGCGATCAACTGTTTCAGCTCAAGAACTAATGTCATATTTGGATCAAGGCACCGGATCCAATAGCAAAGTTTAGAGAATTTTTTTTAAGAGGTTGTAATAGTGCAGTGGCGCCAAGCGTAGTAGCCAGAATAGTCCGAGGTGTATTTTGTGAGCTTACTTACTAGTATCTTCCATACAACTGGTTATAAATATGGTCATTTCTATAGTAAGTGTTCAAAAAGGGCTGGCGTCTCAGAGCCTTTGAATTTTCTTTTTTTTTCCATCACGACCAAGCAACACCACAAGAATTGTCCTGTCACAAGAATTGCAAGAAACCACAATGGCAATTTTTGTGAATCATGATAAGTTCCAATCGATAACGAGAGGATCAGAAACCCGTTCTTTTTTTCTAAATCCTGCAAATTTTAGACTATTTGCTCCACCTATATAAACAACTGGAATCCTTTTCTCTCACTGTACTAAATGCCTAGAAAAAGATTCATCATTTGACGTCAATATACTTGATATAAGTGCGAGCGTCATATTTGCAAGAGAAAAATGTATGGCTGGAAGCGTGATCGATTGAAGCTAAATATACGGATAAGAGAGCGTAGGACTTAGTAGCCTGAACGTCTGCAAAGTATAACCAGAAAGGGGTTAAGGGCGCCTCAGCTACAGACTTCTAGAAAAGAGATAAGGGCAAATCATTTACATCAATCAAGAGCTCGTGAAGAGACCGACGAAATATATAGGTAACATCCTTTCAGTTTTCTACCAAAAAGACGGCCGAAACCCGAGGTGTTTTGGTTGGTGCTCAATGAAAGCAGTTCTGACCAGACTGAACTTGATTGGTCAAAGAAATTTTGAATCTTCAATTTGAATTTTCTCTCCAGCATTTTGATGTGACTTGACCTACAATTCCACGGGAACACCGACGTCCAGTT